TTTTGGGCGAGTAGATGCATTTGTTGAGTCCTGTTTATTCTTGATGGATGCGAAATCCACCAGTACATGTGGTCTACATGTGTTTTTGTTTACGTTCTTCTGTCTTCGTGGTTCTCGCACAGAGTTGCTAAAAGAAATTTCATCGAATGAAATTTCGTGAAATTTCTTTTTTCCCCGTGAAATTTCTTTCGACCGACAAAATGTCAAAGTTTAGTTTCTGAAAAATCATTTAAATTGTTTCAAGGATAGTTTAAGATCCCTCCCTCGCTTTTGTACCAAAAAAGGATAGACTAATAGGGGGAACTAGGATTCTTTATAGTTGAGAAATTTGTTATGTTCCAAACATGAAAGCTAACGTCTTACTTTATCCGTAAAATTCATTTTGGTGTTCAACCGGTACGGCTGTGTGTTTAACCAAGATTTGAGAAAAAAATTCAAAATTATGTTTTTGCTGTTTCACTCAACTTTCTGGGCATTTCTAAAGTTCCCTTTCACAGTTTACCACGTGTGTATAAAGGGAATTAAGGAGATTCATAAGTTTCTAGGGTTTAATCCTGCATTCTGAGTGTTATATGAAATTTCTGGAAATTTCCTCATGAAATTTCTTTTTATAATTTTTCATTTTTGTAAAGATGTAGCAATTTCTATTGCTCTCAGGAAGAAAATTAAGAATATCAGAGGTACCATATGCTGCAGAAGTAAGGAAAGTCAGGAGAGGTTGTAATAACATAAACAATCAGCGCTGATCGCGGCGATTAATCGCTAGGTGTATACGTAATCGCACTGATGGCCTCTGTTGATTGTATTGCGTTGAGCGATGCGACCCGAACCAACCCAATCGCGGCGATTAATCGTCGTGTATCTAGGCCTTTAGTCTGTAACCTCCGGTAACCTCAAACCATAGAGTACAACAGAGTCGCAATGTACTGGAGCGCCGATGAAGTCAATCCATTAACGGGCCTTTCCGAGCCGCTTGTGCTCTGAAAAGTGTGAACCAAGTGTGGACCCGACGGCACTTATCATGATTGTGGCTTATGGGGAAATCAAGAACTGCTTGTGTTTTTTCGACATTTTTAATTCAATCAGCATTAATTTTTGCAAATTTTGCCGCAAACGGGAAGTTAAAGCCATAGTGAATCCATTAATGTATCATACTCTTGAATAATATTCCAAAAAGGAAGTAAATTGAGACTTGAACCAAGTGTGAACCGACAAGCATCTCTTAAACCTAAAAAGTTAAAATCGCTCTTTCGCCGTTTCGCTGTCTACGTTTCCGGGACGTATAATTCAACGTAGTCCAAAACACGTTTTACTAGAAAAGGCGGCACAGGCAGGACACAGGCCAGGAGCGCCCACTAGGTGGCGCTGCATTTCGCGGCGCAGATTACTTAAAAAGTCTACAGCGCATGCGCAGCCCATGTCGGCTCCAACCAAGTTCCTGGAATCAGTCTGATCAGCAAAGGTTGCAACTGTTCGAGAGAGTCCACCATTTGTTATCTTGATATTGGCGTACGAAGTGATTTTCGCAGTTTAATGTTGTGCTTGAAGTGATGCTTATACCTCCGTGTTTTACATACATAAAAGTTCGTTAATTACCTACTTGTCTGTTTCTAATTCTGTATCTCAAGTCAATGTCCACAATTTTAACCCGTAGACCTCATGTTCTATACTCTAAAACTGAAAGTGCTTATTCCTCCTCTAGTACGTACACCTAAATGAAAGTCGTGCCTATGAAGTGAATGATAGTATTTTAATTAATCGTCATTTATCGCAAATAAGTAGATAATTAACGAAATTTTCTAATCGTAAACACGCTAGGAGGGAAAGAGACGCACAAACTGCGAAAAGCCCAAAAATGAATGCCACACAATGTTTTGCGAATAAAATGGATTCTATAATGTTACTGCACGTCCGTGCAATGTAGTCACTGCCAAGTCCCTGCAATGTAGACACTGCAACGTTCCTGCGACGTGGACACTGAAACGTTCCTGTAAACGTTGTCGCTGACAACGTTTACACGGGAACGTTCCGGAAACGGTACTTAATACATGAACATCCGCGTAGAATTACACGTTCCGGTACACGTTGTTTTCCACGTGGAAGGTTTCACGAGAAACGTGGAATTCTACGTTGTTGTCAACGTTGAAATTGTTATCTGGGATTGTCACGGTGGCTTACGGGAAAAGCAACGACTGCTTGTGTTTTTTCGACATTTTTTGAGTCAATCGATATTAATTTGTGTAAATTTTGCTATAAATAGATGGTCAAAGCCATAATGAAGCCATTCATGTATGTTACTCCTGGATTTTATTCATACAGGGATTTAATTTCTGACTTATACAAAGTGTGAACGAAACCGGCATTTCTAACACGGTGGCTTACGGAGAAATCAAAAACTGCTTGTGTTTTTTCGACTCTTATTAATTCCATCTATATTAATTTTTGCAAATATTGCTATAATTAGATATTCAAAGCCATAATGAATCCATTAATGTATGTTACCCCTGGATAATATTCATATATGGACTCAATTTCAGACTTATTACCGGCCTACTTGGCTGGTTCAATGTAGGTGTTCAATGTGTGTGGACCTAGCCGACGAACGGAGCCGAGTCGGGAGTGGGGAGCGCTGAGCGCGAGTCTCTGCGTATGCGTCGTCGCTAGTCGCCGCACACTAGTCTCCGGAGAACTGGACAAAACAGCCTCGAAAAGTGACTTCAACGGCGATCCAGGACTTTGCGACTCTATTGTACTCTATGCCATGGATCATCTTGATAATCGTGACGTCAAGAGGGTACGAGATGCGACCACCATTCTTTTTATCCGCCTTGCTCTCGCAATACAGGTACTCTAGAGAGATTAAGCACTTTGAGAAGGAAAGAGGCGTTAAAAAGTTGCCACGAGCGCACCGGTAATCGACCGATGACCATTGACTATTCGGATGCTATCTCGTAGATTGGCGCGGGAATTTCGAAAAAACAGTAGGATTGTAATTTTTAAAGTCGGAAATTGAAAAAATTTAAGTTGAGTGAAACATTAATTTTTTTTTGTTTTGTTGAAAAACATTAGTTGAACAGAATACCACTGATTTATTAAAGAGCTGATGACCTAACCTAACCTAACCGAACCTAACCTAACCTAACCTAACTTAACCTAACCTAACCTAACCTAACCTAACCTAACTTAACCTAACCTAACCCAACCTAACTTAACCTAACCTAACCCAACCTAACTTAACCTAACCTAACCTAACCTAACCTAACCGAACCTAACCGCTAAGTCAGTAAAAGTCGCTGATTGAGCTAACTATTTTCAATATTAAATTAATTGTTGTAAAAATGAGTTTTGTGACTTATTTGGACGAAGAATCATGATTGGGGGATTTTACAGATTGTTGGAAAAAAAATTTCCTGTGCCGGGAACCAAACCCAGCATCGTCACGACATTGGACGAATGCTCTACCCGTTGGACCACCGGAGCTGTTGAGCTCTGGGTGGAAATAAGTAGTATATAAGGGTAGCGTTATTGTTGTTGAAAAGAAGATGCATCGTTGACCGGTGACCGACGCGGATGGTTGCTGGGGATTCTGCAACTAGAGTACCTATATTAAGAGAGTATGGCCACTGGGTCCCATGGAGAGGCACAGGACCCAAAAATGGCGGTGTTTTGTTTTGGTTTTTGAGGATGGGAGGGGGGTCATTGCCAACTTTTGACGGTTATCACCAACCGCACTTGCTGCCAACCTTACTACATCTAAGATCATTTTTCTCAAAAATTGCACACGATTAGCCTTAAAAATATGTAAAAAAGTCGCAATAGTGCATTTGGGTAAAGTTCTCGTTACGATAAGCAAAGACAACTACATTTTGAATCATTTTGCATTACATTAACTTTATGGCGTCCGCCATTTTTGGGTCCTAAGGGCTCCATTCAGCCTAAGATGGCTGAGTCAATCAGAGGTGGTAACTCCAGTGGCCATACTCTCTCAATATAGGTACTCTATCTGCAACTTTTCATGCCTCTTTCCCATAGGCCTTGTCTCCACGGCGCAACTGTTGAGGGAAGTTGGCGCAACTGTTACGAGTTTGTTGCACCAATCGAAGTTCCCTGTCTCGACGCACAAGCATGTGTTCCTGGAACTTTTAGGCGGGAATATTTGAACAACGTTAATTTTTTTAGGTTAAACGATGTCAATTGAGGTAACTGAACTGATAATTATGAACGAGAGGTGAATATTTTGCGTTATTTCGACCAGGTATAAAACAAATAACAATAACATAACACAGATATGGATTAAAAGAAAATATATTCGATAAAATTTTATTTTTCTGCTGTAGTGATATGCTACAAACGAAAATCTAAAATTGATACTGAAATGTATATAAATATTTCTAAATATTAACCGCTCCAAAATAAAACACCCGTAATAAACTCCCGCTTCACGTGTAACCAGCGGTTATCAATTCAAAATACGAAGGTAAACAACTGTTGAGGTTCCAGGTTTCTGACCTTGAAAGTTTCTGTTATAAGTGAAACATTTTTGAGACACTTCCTTCCTTCAACAGTTGCGCCAACTTCCCTCAACAGTTGCGCCGTGGAGACAAGGCCAGCGTCCAGCCCACTACAAACTAGGGGCCTCAAAGAGGCTCATCGATGGAACTGTTGACTGTTGCCTTTCAAAGATTGTCGGGCCGACGATCTTTGAGGGTAACCGATGTGTTTGGGATACATCACAGATCAGATCTTGAAATTTTCAAGGCATTCCGTGCAGAAATGGCTGAGTAATAGAAGAATTAGTGCCAGTTTGAGAGCCCCAGTTTGTACGTGGGCTGGACGCTTTAGAGAGAACCCGATCGTCAGTTTAGTTCACTAGACACTCTGTGTCATGAATCGCTAGTGTCGCCGCTACCGGAGTTGGGGGTCTTTATTTATTCTCTTGATGTCTTCTAGCTGCGGCAAGTTACCAGGTTCAGAGGTTCAGTGGTTCAGTGTCATAGTCATACGGTTTTTGGTCACACAGTCAGCCAGTCAGTCTCAGTCTCTCAGTCCGACACCAGTGTTTGTGGAAGTAGGGTGCTTATAGTGGAACAGGTAATCCCAGACCGGCTTGCCTACAAATTGCCTTTGAATAGTTCCTCAGTTGACACAGAATAGGTGAGTCTTTTTCGCAAGCTTTTATCTCCGTCAATTACGGTACCCATTATAATACTCAAATCTCCTATTTTTGTGTGAATTACTCTCGTTGTCTCTACTTCTTTGTGCTCTCAAATTATTACCTTCGCAATAGAACTCTCTCCTTTTCTCATAGGACTTTCCTTTCAGTCTTTAAATCAAAATATAATTTTCTGCGATTTCTTCTACGTTCTTTTCAAAGTCCTGACCAATTGAGTGAGAACGTATTTTGTGGCTAAGTAGGTTGATCTTACTACCCATCAGATATCTTGGATCATATGAGATTTTGATCCAGGTGTCCATGTTTGCCTTCTTTTTATCATTCATCTTTTTCACTCTTATTCACATGGTACCCTTGTACTTAGCCGAGAATGGTTCAACCCATTCAAACGCATTGACAATGATTTTAAAGCTTCTCCAGTATTCTTAACTTTTCATGCTTCTTTAATTTTAGTGATAGCAGCATTGCATTTGTTTCCCCTGCATACTCAAGGGCTGCTTTTCTAATGGCCTCTTAATTTACTTCTTGTATCTAAAATTACTCTTATGTAAGAAGAGGTTCCTTTTTGAGGAATCAATAAGTTCTCAGGTCTATTACCTTTATCAATTGGTCAGTGACATAAAATTACTGCAGAGTACTTAAGTGGCAGGTGTTCCCAGTGAACCACTTCATGAAAAAATCTGAAAGCATGCTGAAAGTTCGGATAAGCTCTCAAGTTACCAGGCTTACATTGAATACCTTTTCCCCATCTAAACTTATCACAAAATGCCATCAATGCCAATCACTCGCTGGAGCTGAAAGGAAAGTTTCTACAAGACTGCATGAAACATCATTATAATTATGGAGAGCTTTCTTTTTAATGATGGCATGAAGGCAATATATCCCAACTTTTGTTAATTTTGTCATGCTTACCGGGATGAGGTTGAAACACATTTTTAAGATGAGAAGCATGCTTCTCGTCAGGCAGATGTTCCTCTTTATTACCTATTCTTTCCGCCCTAGCGGCGGTAAGGAGGCCGAGAGCGCAAAATAAATTAGTGGCTGACCTCCGCGAGCGCATGCTGCACACCTAAAAAAAAACCGCACAGAGATTTATGCAGCGGTTGCGGTGATTACCCGTTACAAAGGAGCGGGAAATAGGATTTTATTTTATAGTGGATGGATTGGTTGCCCAGGTGTTATCGCCTCTTCTCATTGGGAAATTAACTTGCTCTGGTCTTTTGAATGACTGTAGCTTTGCACAGAGTATAGGCATCTCTCTCTAAAGGGCTCAAACTTGAAAAGAACCTCTCAAATTTCTTATTTTGAAAGGTGTCAAGTTAAGCAATTTTGTACAATTTTATTCAGTTTATGATACTCCGTTTTATCCTCAGTGAATTTAATACCTAGCATTTTCCTCTTAGCTTTGCGTTTTTGTGTGATCAAGTAAACCGTCAGAGGAATGAATTTCTACGGAATAGCTTTTATACCTAGAAGTAATAAATACTGCAGGGGTACTAGATCTGGTAGCATTTTGAACTTGCAGGGATAGTCTCTCCAACTCTTTATCTAGAAGTAACTTGTTTTTATTTTTTATGGGGTTCTCTAGGTACCTCTATTTCACCATTTAATTTTTCTTGGAACTTGAGCCATTCAGTCCGTACTGAGACGTAACATGGGGCCTTCCAGTCAAAATTAGATGAAAGTAAATATAAGAAGTAATAGGATCGTGCTTTGTTTTCCTTTCAAGTTCACGGCATACAGTTTTATTTAAAAGGGTTTATTGTTATATGCAAAAAATTACTAATGGCTGGTGATTTCGTTTGATAGTGAGGGTAGGAAGTGGGCTTCCCAGGTGCGAATTAAATTAACAGTCTCTTTCGAAGCAGAGCCTTTTTTATATGGACGGTGTAAGTCGGCAATCACATACCTAACTTGATTTTTGGCAGTTTTGAGTTAGCTGCTGAAATGCAATGTAGTAGATGCCCTTTACCTGCTATCAAAATCTTTTAATCGAAAAAAATCTGGAAGTCACCTAAAAACGTAGAACTCAAATCAGCTATTTCGGCGTTAATTGCAATAACACATAACTTGTGTCTCTGCTCAGCATTTCGTACAATGCACGCTCTTCCGGGAAGAGTCGTGAATAGTTTAGGAGGGTGATTTTTCCTGAATTTCTTTTATGGAAAATAATAAAGAATCATGAAAAAAATCTAGTCAAGCTTGAATGTAATATATGCATTCACTTCCCTTGCAACGAATGAATTATTAGCAAAGATGCTAAACCACCATAATCTAGAGGTTCCCTTCTCGCACTCAGTGCTTCATTTATTATAAAAGCTCAACAGTTTGCATAGTGAGAACCGTCAAATTTAAGTAAGTTTTTTTTTTCTTTTTTAATAGTGGGCCTAGGTACTTATCACTTTTTGTACGTAATTTTTCTTTTATTTCATGTCATTGAATTATGGAGAAGCATATTTTAATGACATGTATAGAAATTGTCCATACTTTTCCCCAAAAAGTTATCATTGGGAAGGAAAGTCATCAAATTATGCAATGGCAGCAAACAGTCTCCTTGGTTGAGAATGATGAAGTAAGAAAGCACACAAATCGATCCAAACACCGCTAGGTAAACCTATAGTTCCTCCTCTCACAAAGTACCAGGTACCTATCTAAAATGGCAGAATATTAATATTGGCCTCATTCTTAAGATTCGCTACCATTAAAGTTTGTTAAAAGGAACGTTAGGCTACTTTTAAAGTGAGAGGATACTTAATTGGCTGTCAAAACTCAGACAACCAGTCATGCCACCTCTACTAAAGAAAATGGATTGGAGTCCCATTATTTTTCATGGCCGATGGTAAATGACAATCGCTGACAAATGAGAGGGGAGTAACCTTTTGGTACCTAACAGTGTTGCATACGTGCGTGTTTGAAGGCGCTTGCTCACAAAGGAACGCCACTGGAGAAGATTTAATCAAGATTCTATGTATATAACTAGCCGTGATTAGCTCGCTGACATGCCTAGACCCCAGTTATTCGCTTTGCGATGAACTTGCGACTCGCTCCGCGAGCCGCCACCGCCCCTCTTTTTAAAATTGATTAGAAGACAACATCTTCGTCTTCATCTTCTTTTTCACAAAGTTTTAAGGAAATTGATGTTCCAGAAGCCGGGACCGCATTATATAGCGCGGCCGCCTTCTTGGATTTTGAAATGTTGAACATCTGACCAAAAATTGATCCGTTGAAAAATTCCCCTTGATACCGAATTTCACGAAAATCCGTCGAACTGGAGCCGACTTAGCATTTTAGGCCACGGCCGCCATCTTAGATTTTGAAATTTTGAAAATCCGACCTAAAATTCGAGTTTCCCGTCGAAAAATACCCTCTGCCACCAATTTTCACATAAATCCGTCGATCGGATAAAACCTGAAATTTCGTCTCCAATACCGTGACGTTACGCGACACCATTGAGCCTGTTTGGTGCGGTGCGTGTAAATAACCGCGTAACAACTTTTCGCTCTTGCGGACGTCCTGAGCAGCGTTTTCTAATCTATCAATACCTCATGACACTAGTTAAGCGTGTACCATGTTTAAAAGACATTGCTTCGGCCAATTTTTCTCTAAGGGGGGGGGGGGGGGGCAGAGTGAGTGGTAACAGCAGCCTTATACACAGGGTTATCCAGAAGTCTTCTACCACCCCTGTAACTGTTTTCCTAACTGAGATAGAAAATTGAAACTTTGGCGATGTTCCTCCGTCTAAAGTAGCAACTTTTTGGTGCCCTCTCCCCAAATTTTTGGGGAGCTGCCGGTGCCTCCCTAAGGGGGGCAACCACCTTTTTTTCCAAGTAGCAACCCCCCTGTTGTGACACCTCATTCGAAAAATAATGAAAAAAGAAAATTTTTGGCCTAAACCGCAGGCCAGGATGTTAATTTTTGACAAAATAGCGGCCGATAAGAGTTCAAAATGGCGGAAATTTGGCATCTCCGTTTTTTATTGGCGGATCGGTCTGAAATCCTAAGCTTAGAGCGAGAAGTGGATTTTTAGGGCGCTTATCGTCGTATTTGTATGAGACTTGGTATCCGGGGCACGAAAAGAACGAATCTTTCATTGGATTTTTGAAATTTCGAAAAACTCAAAAATGGCGAAGAAAAAAGGACGGGGAATCCATATCACTGGCCCTACCACCGATTTTTCCTCCGCCATTTTTCAATTATTTAGTATTTAAAAAATCGAATGATTCATTTTTTCGAGCCAAAAATCAGCAGAGTATCGACTTTCGTGCAAATCCATCGGTAAACAGCCGTGATATGGATTTCCCGTCATTTTTTCGCCGCTATTTTAAAGTTTTTCGAAATTTCAAAAATCCAATGAAAGATTCGTTCTTCTCAAGCTGAAATACCCCTGGATACCAAGTCTCATACAAATCCAACGATAAGCAGCCTGAATATCCACTTTCCGCTCTAAGCCGCCATTTTCAAGAGGACTGACTTTTCTGGAAAAGTAATGCCAGAGTTGTTTTTCTCGTCCCGAAAAACCCCAGAATTCTGAGTTTCAGACCCATCCGCCAATACAAAACGGAAATGCCAAATTTCCGCCTTTTTGAACTGTTACCGGCCGCCATTTTGTAAAAAATCAACATTCTGACCTGCGGTTTGCGCCAAAAATTGTCTTTTTTATTATCTTTTCAATGAGGTATCACAAAAAGGGGATTGCTATTTGAAAAAGAAAAGTTAGCCCCCGCCCCCTATAGAGGGGGGGGGTGGCCAGCCCCCCAAAATTTTGGGGTGACCATAAAGTTACTACTTTAGACCGAGGCACATTGCCAAAGTTTCAAACTTCTATCTCAATCAGGAAAAAAGTTACAGAGGTGGTAGGTGACTTTTGGATAGCCCTGTAGAGTAATATCCGAAGGTTTTTTTTGTCCTCCTCTAGTTTGGACAGTTCGTGCCAATTCGATCTCAGAAACTAAGTACTGGACCGATTTTCCTCGGATTTGTT